CCCTATAGGCAGCATGCAACAAGCGCCGCCGGCTGCCCCCGCGCCCCAGCTGCCCGCAGGCGCCGCCTCCCCGGCGCCCCAGCTGCACGGAAGCGCCACCAGCTGCCTCGCGCGCTCGGCCCCCAGGCCGGCGGCGATCTTCCCGCTTGCCTGGCACTCAGCCGGCGGCCCCTCGCCCTCCGCGCGCTCGGCCCCTGATGGCCGGCGGCGGTCTCCTCCTCACTCTTAGTGGTGCTTGAGCGGCACCCCCCTGTCGGTGCCGCAGTCGGCGCCTCCGCCGGTGCCGCAGTCGGCTCGGCTGTCGGCGCGCCCGTCGGCACCGCAGTCGGTGTGGCCGTCGAGGAGGCGGCTGGAACCGCCGTTGAGGTCGGTGCGGCAGTCGGCGCAGCTGCGGGTGCAGCGGTCGGCGTGGTTGTCTGTGCCGCCGTCGGCGCCGCTGCCAGCGCTGCCGTCGGTGCCGCTGTCGGCCTGGCCGCCTGCACCGCTGCCCAGGAGGCCGTCGGTGCCGCTGTCGGCGCGGCTGCCCGTGCCGCATCCGCCGCAGCCGTCGTAGAATATGTTGGCGAGGCTGTCGGTGCCGCAGTCGGCGAGGCTGCCCGCGCCGTCGACGAGGCGGTCGGTGCCGCGGTTGGCGCAGCTGTCGACGTCGCAGTCGGCGCAGCTGTCGGTGCCGCCGTCGGTGCAATTGTCAACGCACTCGCCGACGCAGCTGCCAGCGCCGCTGCTGGCGCCGCCGTCGGCGCAGCCCTCGGCTCCGCAGCTGGCGCGCCGTCGGCGCTGCACTCGGCGCAGCGGTCGGCGCCGCTGCCGACGCAGCCGTCGGCGGGACTTTCGGCGCCGCCGTCGGCCCCGCTGCAGGCGCAGCTGTTGGTGCCGCTGCCGGCTTGGCTGTCGGCGCGACTGTCGGCGAGGCTGTCCGAGCCGCAATAGGCGCATCTGTCGGCGCGCTTGTCGACACAACTGTCGGCGCCGCCGTCGGTGCCGCTGTCGGCGCAACTTTTGGTTCCGCGGCCGGCACTGTTGCCGGTGCCGCAGTCGTTCCAACCGTCGGCGCCGCTGTTGGCGAAACTGCCGGTGCGGCTGTCAGCGCCGCTGCTGGTGCAGCTGTCAGCGCTGGAGTCGGCGCGGCTGTTGGCGCCGCAGTCGGCGCCGCTGTCGGCGCACTTGTCGGCGCGGCTGTCGGTGCCGCTATTGCCGCTGTCGGCGCAACCGTCGGTTCCGCGTCTGGCGCGGTCGGCGCCGCTGCTGATGCCGCTGTTGTCGCAACGGTCGGCAAAGCCATCAAGACGACGGTCGATGCCACGGTCGGAGCAGCTGCCGGCGAGGCCGTCGGCGCCGCAATCGGCGCCGCTGCCGGCGGGCCGGTCTGTGGCACCGCTGGTGCCGCTGCCGGCGCAGATGTCGGCGATGCGGTCGGCTATTTCGTCGTAGCCGCAGTCGGCGCTGCCGTCGGCGAGGTTGTCGGTGCCGCAGTCGGCACGGCTGTCGGTGACGCTGCCCATGGTCGACCTGGGGGAGGGCTGCTCCCCCAGCGTCACGCGGCGCCTCCTCTCCTCCGCCAGCTTCCAAAAAGCTCCTCTGCTAGATGCCTTGCTGGCCCCCGCCTCCCTGGAGCTTCTACCGTCGAGCCTGGCCTCGATCTCGGATACGCGCTCGCGCGCCGTGTGCTGCTGGCACTGGCCGCCGGATTCCCAGTCGGCGTTGGCGTCGCCACGCTTCCCAGCGCTGTCCGCGCCGCGGTCGTCGATCCGGTCGGCGCCGCTGTCGGCGCACCCGTCGGCGCCGCAGTCGGCGCGGCTGTCGGTGCCGGAGTTGGCGCAGCAGTCGGTGAGGCTGCCAACGGCGCAGCAGTCGGCCTGGATGTCATTGCCGCAATCGGCGCAGCCGTCGGCGCAGCTGTCGGCGAGGCTGCCGGCGCCGCAGTCGGCGCGGCTGATCGGGCCGCGGTCGGCGCAGCCGTCGGCGCCGCTGTCGGCGAGGCCGTCGGGGAGGCTGTCGGCGCCGCGGTCCGCATGGCTGTCGGAGCCGCAGTCAGCGCAGCTGCAACAGCAGCTGTCGGCGATGCTGCCAGTGCCGCAGTCGGCGAGGCTGTCGGTGCCCCAGTCGGCGCAGCTGTTGGCAGGGCCGTCGGCGCGGCATTCGGCGCGGTTGTCGGAGCCGCAGTCAACGCACTTGTCGGCGCGGCTGTCGGTGCCTCTGCCGGCGTCGCTGTCTGCGCTGCCGCCAAAGCCGCAGCCGCCGTCGGAGCAGCCGTCAGTGCCGTTGTCGGCGCAGCTGTCAGTGCCGCCTTCGGCGCAGCTGTCGGTGCCAGCGTCGGGGCAGTTGTCGCCGCCGCTGTCGGCGCAGCTGTTGGCGCTGCCTGGGCACTCCTGCTGAAGCGCCCGCGGCTGCCGCGCGCCCGGCTCCAGCCAGGGGGCACCAGTAAGGACTCCGGTGCCTGCAGCGAGCGCCCCAGCCGCGGCGAGCCGCCTTTTGGCCGCGGCGCCCCTCGACGATGTCCTCAGCGTCGGCCAGAGGCGTTCTTCGCCGCCCTCCTCGTGGTCGCCGCCCTCCACGACGCCGCGCGCGTCACCGTAGTGCTTGCCGTCGTACTCGTCGTACTTGGGCTTGTGCTTGTGCTCGCTGTGGTCCTCCTGGTCGGTGCCCGCCAGGCCGCGGCCTGCGGCGGGCTCCGCCTCGCGGAGCCGCAGGCTGGACGCCAGCCTCGCACCGCCTAGGCGCGACCTCACGTCGCGAGGTCGGTGCCTCTTGCGGCCCCAGCCTGCGGCGGGCTCCGCCGTGCAAGGCAGCAGGCTGGGCGCCGACCTCGTCTCGGCCCAGCGCGGCGCTATGCCGCGCAGCAGGGGCCTCCACCTCCTCCTCCTCCTCCTCCTCCTCATCCTCCTCCTCCTCCTGCAGCCCCGGCCTGCAGTGGGCTCCGCCTCGCGGAGCAGCAGGCTGGGCATCGACCTCACCTCGGCCCAGCGCGGCGCTCTGCAGCGCAGTGGGGGCCGCCTCCTCCAGCCCCAGCCTGCAGTGGGCTCCGCCTCGCGGAACAGCAGGCTGGGCATCGACCTCGCCTCGGCCAAGCGCGGCGTTCTGCCGCGCCGCGGGGGCCGCCTCCTCCAGCCCCAGCCTGCAGTGGGCTCCGCCGCGCGGAACAGCAAGCTGGACACTGACCTGTCCGCGCCACTTTCGGCGCGGGCGTCGGCCCTGCGGTCAGCGCCGCAGCCTGCACAGCTGGCGGCACCGCGGACTGCGCGGCTGTCGGTGCCGCAGCCATTGCCGATGTCGACGCACTCGCGGGTGCAGCTGTCGGCGTCGCTGTCCGTGCCGCTGCCGGCGCATTCGTCGACTCTGCCGCCAGCTCGCCCCTCGATGCCGCTTCCGGCGCGGTCCCTGGCGTTGCTGTCGGCATATCTGTCGGCGAGGCCGTCGGTGCCGCAGCCGGCTCGGCTGCCAGTGCTGCGGCTGGCGCTATCGTCGCCGCAGTCGCCGCGGCCTTCGGCGCGGCCGTCGACGCCGCAGTCAGCGCAGCTGCCGGCGTGCCTGGCGGCGCCGCGATTGATGCCGATGTCGGCGTGATTGTCGATTCCACGGCCAGCGCTGCCGTCAGCGCCGCAGTCGAAGAGGCTGTTGGCGCCGCGGTCGACGCAACCGTCAGCAAGGCTGCCAGGGCCGCAGCTGGCGCAGCGGTCGGAGCCGCCGTCGGCGCCGCGGTCGCCCTGGCGGCCCCCGCAGCTGTCGGCGCCCCAGTAGATGCTGGGATCGGCGAACTTGCCATGGGGCCGGTCGGCGGTCTCGTGGGCGCGGATGCCAGCGCGCCCGCTAGTGCCGTAGCCGGCGCAGCTGCTGGTGACGCGGTCGGCGGGGCCGTCGGCGCATCTGTCGGTACCGCAATCGACGTGGCTTTCGGTGAGCGGGTCGGTGCGGCCTTTGGTGCGGCGGTCGCTGCAGCGGCCGCTGCAGCAGCCATCGCAGTTGCTGGCGACGCCGTCGGCGAGGCGGTTGGTGACGCTGTCGGCATGGCCGTCGGAGCCGTTGTCGGCGCGGTTGACGGGGCTGCAGTCGGCGCCGCTGTGGCGGTCGCTGCAGCGGCCGCTGCAGCAGCCATCGCAGTTGCTGGCGACGCCGTCGGCGAGGCGGTTGGTGACGCTGTCGGCATGGCCGTCGGAGCCGTTGTCGGCGCGGTTGACGGGGCCGTAGTCGGCGCAGCTGTTGATGCCGTTATAGGCGCAGCTGCCGACGCACCCGCCAGCGCAGCTGTCGGCGCCGCCGTCGGCGCGGCTGCTGGGGCCGCGGTCCGCACGACCCTCAAGGCAGCTGGTTGTGAGGCTGTCGGGGCCGTCGTCGGTGCAGCCGCCAATGCGGCGGTCGTTGCGGCTGTCGGCGCAGCTGCTGGCAGCGCCATCGCCGCCGTCGCTGGGTCGGACGTCGAGGCAGGGGGCATGGCAACCGTGGCCTCCGTCAGCGACGCCGTCGGCGCACCCGGTGCCGCCGCTACCGGCGCGGCCGCCGGCACAGCTGCCAGTATCGCGGCCGATGCCGCAGACGGCGGGCATGTCGGGGAGCCGCTCGGTGCCCTCGCTGGGGCCGCCGACGCCGCAGGTGGTGGACTCGTCGGGGAGCCGCTCGGTGCCCTCGCCGGGGCCGCTGTCGGCGCGGCTGTCGGGGCCACCGCCGGCGAAGTTGTTGGCACCGCAGTCGGCGGGGCTGCCGATGCCGCAGTCGTCGCAACTGTCGGCTCGCTCGTCGTCGCAACCGTCGGTGTCGCCGTCGGCGCCGTTGTCGGTGCAGACGGTGGTTCCGCGGCCAGCGCTGCTGCCTGCGCCGCCGTCGGCGCGGTTGTTGGCGCGTTCCCCGTCGTCCTTGACGTCGTCCCAGTACTCTCCTGCCTCATCCTCGGCTGTGCCAACTTCCCTAGCATCCTCACCCTCATTCCTTACCTCTCCACAGTCCACTTCAAGCACATCCACCTCAAGTACCTGCGCCTCCTCCTTCTCCTCCTCTTCCTCCTCCGCCATCTCGGTCTTCTCCGGGGCCTCCCTCGCGGCCTTGGCGGGGGAACTGTGCGGGCCGTCGTCTGCGAAGGCTCTCGTGGCCTCCGCGGGCGCCTCGAGCCCGTCGTGGACGCCGTCCAGGAGGCTCGCGCTGGGGGCTCTGGCAGCTTCTACCAGTGCCTCGCGCGGCCCGCCCAGCGCCCCGCCCAGCACGAGCGCCTCCTGCCACCAGCTCCGCTGGGGCCCCGACTGATGCCGCAGCTTCTCGCCCTCTTGGTACCGCTCCCGATCCTGCTGCCTCTGCGCGGGCTCGGCCCCCCCGAAATTTGGAAGGGGGTCTTGCTCCAGGGCAGTGTCCTGCCCGGCCCGTTCCACCCCCACCCCTTTCTCCACCTTCGCCACTATGGCGGCGCCGTTCGGCGCTGCCCTCCTCTGGTCCTGGCCTGCAGCGGGCTCCGCCTTGCGGAACCACAGGCTGGGCGCCAACCTCGCCCCTGCCCGGCTCGGCGTCATGCCGCGCAGCGGGGGCCTCTGCTCGCTGTCGCACTCGCCGTAGTGCCTGTACTCGTGTTTGCTGTGGTCCCCGTGGTCGGCGCCCTCCAGGCCGTCACACTCGTCGTCGTGGAGCTCGCCGTCGCACACGTCGCCGTCGCGGTACTTGTGCTCGTCGGGGTCTTCGTGGCCGGCGCCCTCCGCGCCGCCGTAGACGTCGTCGCCGCCGTGAGGCCGATGCTGCTGGCTGCCGTAGTGCCGCGTCGCCGGACGGGGGCTGACGTCGGAGCCGCCGTCGGCGCAGCAGGCGGGCACCCCGTCGGCGACGCAATCGGCATGGCCATCGCCGTAGCCGTCAAACCCCTCATCGATGCCGACGTCGGCGCGGCTGTCGGCGCAGCTATCGGGGGTTCCGCCGATGCTGCCGCCGGCGCGGCTGTCGTCGTGGCCGTCGGAGGCCTCGACAAGGACATTGTCGTCGCGACCGCCCGCGCGGCGCATGGAGGCCCGGCCGACGTTGCGGTCGGCATGGCCAACGGCAGGGTCGTTGCAGACCTTGACGACGCCGCGATCGGCGCGGCCGTCGACCCAGCAGGCCGAGACCTTGTCGCCGCGGCTGTCAGGATCGCTGCCGGCGCAATCGTCGGTGCCCTCGGTGACGCTGCTGTCGGCGCGGCCGCCGGCGTCGCGGGTGCAGACCCCATCGGTGCTATTGCTGGCAAGGCCGCTGCTAGGGCCGCAACAGGCCTCGTCGGGGAGGGTGTCGGGGCTGCCGTCGGCACAGCGGCCTGATACCTTGTCGGCGATGCCGTCCGCGCGGCCACGGACGTAGCCGTCGGGCCACCCATCGATGCTGATGTCGCCGCGGCTGTCGGCACAGCATTGGGAGACCCCGCCGACATTGCCGCCAACGTGGCCGTCGTCGTAGCCGCCGGGGGCCTCAGCGAGGCCGCTGTCGTCGCGGCTGCCCGCGCGGCGCACGGAGGCCTGGCCGTCGAAGACCCTGACGATGCCGTCGTCGGCACGACGGTCGACCCGGTGGGTGGAGACCCTGTCGCCACGGCCTTCGGGGTAACCGTAGGCGCAGCCGTCGGTGACCTCGGTAACGGTGCTGTCGGAGCGGCCGTCGGCGCGGCAGGTGGAGACCTTGTCGGCGCTGATGTCAGCGCAGTCGGCGGAGCTGTCGGCAACCTCGTCGCTGCGGATGCCAGAGCAGCCGTAGGCGCAGCAGTCGGGTACCTTCTCGATGCTGCTGCGGCTGCAGCCGTCGGTGCCGACGACGAGTCTCCCGTCAAGGCTGTTGTCTGCATGGCCGTCGGGGGAGCCTTCGAAGACCTTGTAGACGTCGCTGCCGCTGCGGCCGCGGTCATCTCGGCCGCCAGGGGCCTCGGCGATGCTGCTGTCGTAGCGGCCCGCGTCGTAGGCCTGTCCCGGGTACGCCCTACTGGCGGCGGCGGCGTGGCCGCACGCCTGCCATACCGACGATGTCGACGATCCCAGGGTCGGAACTTCGCCCACCCGACCTCCTCCGCTCACCGGGTGCCTGATCTGGCGGGGGCGGCGGCGCTGTTGCACGCCTGCCCCAGCGCCGGCGGCACTCCCCGAGGCCATGGCGGGCCTGACCTTGTCGATGTCGCTGCCGCCGTGGCCGCGGTCATCTCGGCCGCCAGGGGCCTCGGCGATGCTGCTGCCGTAGAGGCCCGCGTCGTAGGCCTGCCCCGGATCCGCCTTACTGGCGGCGGCGGCGTCACCGCGCGCCTGCCTTGCCGCCGATGTCGACGATCCCAGGGTCGGGACTTCGCCCACCCGACCTCCTCCGCTCACCGGGCGCCTATCCTGGCGGGGGCGGCGGCGCTGTTGCACGCCTGCCCCAGCGCCGGCGGCACTCCCCGAGGCCATGGCGGGCCTGACCTTGTAGACGTCGCTGCCGCTGTGGCCGTGGTCATCTCGGCCGCCAGGGGCCTCGGCGATGCTGCTGTCGTAGCGGCCCGCGTCGTAGGCCTGTCCCGGGCACGCCCTACCGGCGGCGGCGGCGTGACCGCACGCCTGCCATGTCGACGATGTCGACGATCCCAGGGTCGGAACATCGCCCACCCGACCTCCTCCGCTCACCGGGCGCCTGATCTGGCGGGGGCGGCGGCGCTGTTGCACGCCTGCCCCAGCGCCGGCGGCACTCCCCGAGGCCATGGCGGGCCTGGCCTTGTCGATGTCGCTGCCGCCGTGGCCGCGGTCATCTCGGCCGCCAAGGGCCTCGGCGATGCTGCTGCCGCAGGGGCCCGCGTCGTAGGCCTGCCCCGGATCCGCCTTACCGGCGGCGGCGGCGTGACCGCACGCCTGCCTTACCGCCGATGTCGACGATCCCAGGGTCGGAACTTCGCCCACCCGACCTCCTCCGCTCACCGGGTGCCTAATCCAGCGGGGGCGGCGGCGCTGTTGCACGCCTGCCCCAGCGCCGGCGGCGCTCCCCGAGGCCATGGCGGGCCTGACCTTGTCGACGTCGCTGCCGCCGTGGCCACGGTCATCTCGGCCGCCAGGGGCCTCGGCGATGCTGCTGATGTAGAGGCCCGCGTCGTAGGCCTGCCCCTGATCCGCCCTACCGGCGGCGGCGGCGTCACCGCACGCCTGCCTTATCGAAGGTGACGACGATCCCAGAGGCGGGACTTCGCCCACCCGACTTCCCCCGCTCACCGGGTGCCCAATCTGGCGGGGGCGGCGGCGCTGTTGCACGCCTGCCCCGGCGCCGGCGGCACTTCCCGAGGCCAGGGCGAGCCCGACCTTGTCGACGTCGCTGCCGCCGTGGCCTCGGTCGTAGCCGTAGGGGACCTCGGCGAGGCTGTTGGGCAATTCTACCTGCTCCTGGTGGTGCGGAACGTGGATGTCCGCGATCGTGCCCGAAATGGCGGCGAGCGTTCCCGTGACGATCTCGACTGGTTGCCCCCCTCGTCCTCTTCGTGCCCGCCTCGCCGTCCTCGTCGTCGCCCGTCTACCGCGACGATCTCGACTGGCTGCTCCTCCACGTCATCGTCCTCCTCTCTGTACACCGCCACCATGACAATGTCGACCACTATCATCAACAGCTGCTCGGACTTGGGCTCCAAGAGGGCGAGGAGGTCCTGGATGCCCCAGCCAAGCTCGATCAGCACGTTGGTGACCTTCCCCGCTAACCCGGGCTGGTACTCTGCATCGGAATACTTGGCGATCATGGGGCGAAGCTTCTGGCCGACAATCTGCTACTGCATGGCGGGCGGCTCGGCGGCGAGCGCCGATGCTGACAGCGGGGCACCTGCGTCGCCAGCTGGCTGCGCCACCGCGGACGCCTCTGCGCTCAGCCGGACGGCCCCCGCGGCAGACGCCTCTTCACCGTCCTCGTCGCCCGCCTCACCGTCCTCGTCGCGGTCCCCTTCGTACTCCTCGAACTCCTCCGAGGCGAGGCCTGCGCTCGGGGGCGGTGGCCATAAGTCGGCCGCCGATGCTGCTGCTGCCAGCGTGGCGTACGCGAGTTCCGTCGCGGGTTTCGCCCTGGCCTGTATCCTCCTGAAGGCGCGGCATTGCTGCTCGCCTGCCTCGTCGGAGGCGGCGGCAGCACCCAGCGTGCCTGCCTCACGGTTGTCCGCCGTCTCGCAGAAGTCGGAGACCCTAGCGATGCCGCTGTCGGCGCGACCGCTGGTGCGGCAAGTGGGGACCGTGTCGACGCTTCTGTCGGCGTGGCCGTCTGGGCAGACGCCGGAGACCTCGGCGACGCTGCTGTCGACGCGGCCGCCTACACGGCGTACGGAGGCCTCGCCGCCGCTACTGTCGGCGGAACCATCGAAGATCTCGTAGGTGACAACATCGGCGCGGCTGTCGGCGCAGCAGCTGGACACCTTGTCGACGCTGCTGGCGGCGGCGCGGCCGTCGGACCTCTCATCGGCTCCGATGCCGGAGCCGTCGGGCCTCTGGTTGAGGCCGATGCCGGCGCGGCCGTCGGTGAAGCGTTCGACGACCTTGACAACTCTGCCGTCGTCGTGGCCGTCGGGGTAGCCGTCGGAGGCCTCCAGCGCGAGGTGGTGCGGCACGTGGATGTCCACGGTCGCGTCCTCCCCGCTCTCCCGCACGGCCACTTCCAGCCAGCGGCCGGCTGCCTTCTGGCCTGAACGACTCGCCGGCCGTGCGACGCTTGAAGGACCCTGGCCTGGCGGCCCCACCAGGGGCACATCGCGCACGCCCGGTGGGCTTCTGCCCGGCAGCTCCGCCAGAAATGCCTTGCGTATGCCAGGCGGGCTAGGGGCCGGAATCTGGTCCTCGTCGATGCCCTCGACCTCGTTCTCCTCCGCCTGCACGTCGGCCACGTCGTAGTACATGCAGGGCACGTAGTACAAGGGCCAGCTGCGGGCCGCGCCGGGCTCCTCGATGCTCAGCGCCAACCCCACCACCAGCAGCACCACGTAGGGCAAGCTCCAGACCGCGCCGGGCTCCACGAAGCTCAGCGCCAACCTAGCTGCTCCCCAGCCCTCAATCCAGGAGATGTCTGGCTCCTGAGGGCCCCTCTGGGCGTCCGCCTCTCCTCTGCCCCTGGCCAGAGGCTCTGCCGGCGGCATCCTGTGCGCACCTGGCGGAGCCTCGCCTGGGCCCTTCGGGCGAAGGGCCTTGCCGCTGACATCCACGTTGACCGGCTCCGCGACCCGCACGTGCCCGTCTTCGTAGTACATGTAAGAGGCGCCGAAGTACGTTTCCAGGTACCTGCGCAGCGCCTCTGCCCCCACCTCCGCCTCGCCGTCGTCAAAGTGGAGCCCACCGCGACCTGGCCAGCGAGTTGCGGTCTGGCTCCAGGCCGCGCCGGGCACGGTACCCAGCGCCCCGGCAGCCAAGGCCACCTTCGGCGCGCCTCCGCACGCCAGGAGCCTCAGCAGCCCCATCAGCAGGCCAGCGGCGGCCGACGTCGCGCGGCAAGCCCGCACGGTGGTAACCGCGGGCGGCGGTAGGCCGTTGGTCTGGCTGTCGGAGACTTTGACGGCGTTGCTGTCGGCATGGCCGTCACTGTAGCCGGCGGGCCTCGCGCTGGCCCCAGTGTGAGCGCGACCATCGGCACAGCGCTCGGGGGCCTTGGCAGCAATGCTGTCGGCGTGGCTGCCGGTGTAGCCGTCGAATGCCTCGGCGACGCTGTCGTCGACGCAGCATGCACGCGCGCCGGACGCCAACAGGGCCCGCGCGACGCTCGGCGCCAGCACCTGCTCCTCCTGAATGCCCTTCGGCGCGTGGGTGCCGGCGTAAGCGCAGGGCTTCTCCGTGGGCGTCGAGCCGAGGCCAGCGTCGATGCTGGCGTCGCTGCTGGGATGGGAGCAGGCGCTGGTGCCACAGGGGGCGCGCAACGTGGCCGCTGACAGGGGGTCGCTGCTGGAGTCGATGCTGAGGGCAACGCTGGTGCGGGCGCAGGCGTTGGTGCCCGCGTCGAAGCTGGTGTAGCTGTAGGCGTCGGTGCCGTCGTAGGCGAGCGGCGTGGCTGCTAGCGCAAAGTCGCTGTTGGCGTTGAAGTTGGGGTCAATGCCGATGTAGACGTAGGCGTTGGTACTGGCATCGATGCTGGTGTCGCCGCAGGCGTCGGTGCCGTCGTAGGCGCACAACGTGGCCGCTGGCATGGAGTCGCTGCTGGAGTCGATGCCGGTGTCATCGCTGGTGTGGGCGCAGGCGTTGGTGCCGGCATCGGTGCTGGTGTAGCCGTAGGCGTCGGTGCCGTCGTAGGCGCACGTGGCTGCTAGCGCGGGGCCGCTGTTGGCGTCGAGGTTGGGGTCACCGCCGAGGTGGATGCAGGCGCTGGTGCCGGCATCGATGCCGGTGTAGTCGTAGGTGTCGGTGCCGTCGCAGGCGCACAACGTGGCCGCGGGCGCGCAGTCGCTGCCGGAGTCGGTGCTGGGGTCAGCGCTGCTGTGGGCGCAAGCGTAGGCGTCGACGTCGATGCTGGTGTAGCCGCAGGCGTCGGTGCCGTCGTAGGCGCACGACGTGGCTGCCAGCGCGGAGTCGCTGTTGTGGCCGATATTGGGGTCAACGCCGACGTAGACGCAGGCGTTGGCGCAGGCATCGGTGCCCGACGTGGCCGCTCGGAAGACGAGATCCTCCCGGAGGTGCGGCGCGTGGATGTCCACGATCACGCCCGACGTGGCGACGGGCACCGCTGCACCGATCCCGACGAGCTGCCCACACTGCCCCTCCCTGGGGCCGGGAACGGCGCCCTCCCGAGGCCTCGAGTACAGCTCGGCCCGGGGGAGTGGAGCTGGGAGGGGGGCCTCTCCAAGGGGTGCGTTTTGACCAGGGGTTCGAGGTCCTCCGGGCGAGCGTACCCTGAAGTTCGAACCTCGTCCCGAAAATCGTCGAAAGCTCCTCCAACTCCTCGTCCTCCTCCCTCGCTCGCTTCGTACCTCGTGCTTGCTCCCCGACTCCGAGAAACGGCGCGGCCACGGCCGTCCAGACGTCGTTGTGCACCCGATCATCCTCTGATCATCCTCGTCGCCCTCCTCGTCGTCCTCCGCGTCGTCGTCGGCGAAGCCCTTGGTCATCTGGGCGCTGCGGGGCACCTGGTCCTCCTCGCCGTCCTCCGCGTCGTCCGCCGCGTAGTCGCCCTCGTGGTCCCCGGCGTACTCCTCCTGCCTCTCCATGAGGTCGGCGGGGGGCGGGTTCCCGAAGGGGTCGAAGAGGCCGCCGATGCTCCCGGCGCCGATGGAGCCGTAGAAGCCCGCGTCTGCACGCGCCCCGCCGGAGGCGGCGGCGTTACCGCACGCCCGCCCTACCGACGGCAGTGACGCTCCCACCGCGGGGTGCTCGGCCAGGCGAGGGCGGCGGCACTGCGGCTCGCCTGCCCCAGCGCCGGCGGCACTCCCCGAGGGCGGAGAGGGGCCCTGAGTGGCCACTCCCCTGGTGGCTCGCGTCGAGACCTGGTCGCACCGGACCCAGAGGCTCCCGTCCTGGTGCCACTTCGAGGCAGCGGCGCCGTCACGCCCACGACCCTCTCGAGCAGCCGCGTCAGGCAGACGATCGGCGAGCCGGCTGCTTTCCCGGTCCTTGGCCTGCTCCTCCTTATAGCCCTCCTGGTCCTCGTCGTCGTGGTCCTCGTCGTCCTTCTCGTCGTTGCCGTCCTCGCCGCGGGTCGGCTCCAGCGGCTCGTCCGCGAGGCCTGGCAGCCCCGCCAACAGCATCAGCAGGACCCAGGGCGGCCGCGCCGCGGCACCCGCTGGGCGCTGGGATGCCGCACCGCTGGTCGCCTGTGCGGCCTGGGGCAGCTGCCGCAGCGCTACCCCCGAGCCGCCCGGGCTGGGCGCTGGCGCGGTGTCGCGCCCGGCCGCCCCCGCCCGGCCTCGAGCCAGTGCCGGCGCTTTGGCGCGCCTGGCCAATCGCTCGGCGGCGGCCTGCGGCGGCCGCACAACAGCCGCCCCCCAGCCACCTGGCGTCTTGGGCGGCTGTGCTGCCGCCCCCCAGCCGCTCTGGGAGCTCTGGCTCTGGGAACTCTGGCTCTCGGATTGGGGCGGCGGTGCCGCTGCCCCCTGGCCGCTACAGGCGGGCGCCGGCGCGGGGGTGCGCTCAGTCGCCTTGGCCTGGCATCGAGCCGGCGCCGGCGCTGCGCGCCTGGTCACCCGCTCGGGAGAGCTCTGGCTCTGGGAGCTCTGGCTCTGGGAGCTCTGGCTCGGGGAGCCCTGGCTCTGGGAGCTCTGGCTCTGGGAGCTCTGGCTCTCGGTTTTGGGCGGCGGTGCCGCTGCCCCCTGGACGGTACAGGCGGGCGCCGGCGCGGGGGTGCGCTCAGCGGCCTTGGCCTGGCATCGAGCCGGCGCCGGCACTGCGCGCCTGGCCACCCGCTCGGGGGAGCTCTGGCTCTGGGAGCTCTGGCTCTGGGAGCTCTGGCTCGGGGAGCCCTGGCTCTGGGAGCTCTGGCTCTGAAAGCTCTGGCTCTCGGCTTTGGGCGGCGGCGCCGCTGCCCCCTGGCCGCTACAGGCGGGCGCCGGCGCGGGGATGCGCTCAGCGGCCTTGGCCTGGCATCGAGCCGGCGCCGGCGCTGCGCGCCTGGCCACCCGCTCGGCGGTAGGCTGCGGCGGCCTCGCGACCGCCCCCCAGCCACCTGGCGCCCCGCGCGGCGGCATGGCGCAGCCGCGCGCGAGCTCTCCGGGAACCCGGAGTCTTCTGGCCCTCCGGAATGGGGCTCCGGAGGCCCGGCCTTGGGCCACCTGAGGCCGACCCCCAG